TTTTTACTCTTTATACTATAATCTGTTTGGAGAGAAAACATTATATTTACATACCAGACCGAGGAAGGGCTGGAGAACATAATCAAAGCAAACACATCATTAACTGTATGTTCTCACTTAATAAGAATTACATATAAATACCAATGTATTGATGGATGATTTTTTATAATGAATAGTCGTCTTCTAGTATAGTGAGAGGCCTATTAAATATTATTTTTCTTACTAAACTCACAGCAGGCTTTTTCTGTTATCAACATTCAAAATATTATTGTGACTTAAAGTAAACTTTAAAAAAACCCACATTTTAGCATATTTTCCAATAATGTTATTCTTATAAAGTCTTGCCTTTATATTTCTTTGAAAAATGGATATAATTATTTGACTATACACCGTTTTCCAAATACAGGTCTTAAAGCAACAGACGCTAGGGGCGTTTTCCCCATACAGTGGATCGGGCGTCACTCTGAATCGCGTGTATTAAGAATAGCAGTGTACTCTCTTCTGTTATTACACTTTTTGCTTTTATGTATACTTTATACAGTCAATAAAGTGCGCCCTCTCTAATGGGATTAGTTTTTGTACTTCGCATGTCGCACAATGCGGTCGTTCGAGAAGGCCTGAGATATGTTTGTTTAAGTGTCAAAATCTCGGTCAGAATCAGTTTTTTAACAAATTTGAAATAATTCCTATGAAATATTATATTTCACAAGTGTCAATACTAGCAACGGAAAATATCATGTCGGCCGTTTTTTGTGTGATAACAAAACCTAAATCGAGGTAAGGCTAGGCCTAGCCTAGCAGTGTTGAATAGAGAGTATAATCCATTTAGGTGTTGCATTAATGTCAAAAATATTTTTTCACTTAAACTTAATAAAATTGTTATAATATGAATGGCTGGTGTCTGTAGTTACTGAAACAAAACAAAAATCATGAAATTTTAACTCCGCATTCTAGGATCATACCATTTTTTATATAGGGGGTATATAATATTAATGTTACGGACGGACATTTTAATAGAAGAATATATCTTTTATATAAAAACCCTCAAATATACAAAAACCCTTAAATCTTTCAGATTCTTTGATTACTGGTAAGTGTAAGGGTAAAACATGTCTTAATGAATATACATGAAAAATTAGTAAATATTGCTGGTAATTAGTAAAAATACCTAATTAGCTGTAGTCCAAAATTCAGACGTCCGTCCGTAACGCAAGTTAGCTTAAATGTTTTTTCATGCTTCTATACCATAGATTACAATTAAAAAAACATATTAACTTATCTCTACTACATTGATGATTACAAAATAACTTAATAACAATTTTGTTAACATTACAATTTTAATTACACATTTAATTAAAAATGTGTTACGGACATGTTACGGACGGACATGTCACATAAAATACATTTTGATTGGACAATTTATGTTTAAACAATGTTGAAATGAATTATACTGAAGATGTTTATGTTTAGCAATTTTTTTTTCATAAAATCTATCAGTAAAAATTGGTGGAAATATTCATTTAGTAATGTAACCTCAGGGTAAATATCCGTCCGTAACGCACTTGGGTGTAATGTTCCATCATATGCTTCAAATTTACAACATTTTTACGATTCATACTTAACTCCTTGGACATTTATAAATGTAGATGTACTGTATGGTACAATTGTTTTTGAAATAAAATTTCAATTAAAGCTACTAATTAAAATATTGTTAGAGACAGATATATCTGTGTTACGGACGGACATGTTAGGCAGTGTATGTTAAATTTACCATGGGTCAACCAAACTATACTTTCAATTTAACAATTGATCAATTATTACATCCCAATATCATTTTTCAAAGGTAGCAATTTAATAAAATTATTATGAAAAATTTTAAGTTTAATTAATTCAAGATATTATTTAGTTTAATAACTTATTTTCTCTGAAATTATTGCAATTATATAGGGCCTACTGTAGGTTATGACGAATATTAGTTTATGTACTGTTGAATTGCTTGAACATAAAACATTTTACAAACAATCATCATTAGAGAGGCTGTTATAATCCTAAATTTAAGAAAAGTCAATTATCATTTTAAAAATCAAATTTTTCATTAATATTTATCATTAGGATGTTTGTTGCAAAAGTGTCCGTCCGTAACACAAGAAAAATGTCCGTCCGTAATATTTTCTTTTCTTTAATAACTCAAAGACAAGGAAGTATTTAGTAACCAAAATAGTCTCATTAATATACAAGTAAAATAACTTAATTTAGCAATGACAAATTTTTGTCAGCTCTCGCTTCCCTAGATAGAATTTCTGCTAAGTAGTAAAAATTAGAAACAGCGATTCTATCTTGTCCGTCCGTAACGCTCACATTTTCGCTGTTCTACTTTTAGTAACAATATCAATGCGCATACACTTTTTTTGTAAGATAGAGTGTATACTATTCTTATGAAACATATAATGAACCAGCTAAGAGTGGCATAAAATGTTTTTGGAGAATTTAAATTGAAAGTTTTGAAAAAGTGTCCGTCCGTAACGATGGATTATACTCTAGACTATATTTCTGCGGACGACCTATCGCAAAATCAAACAGGAAAAATTCATCCGCATTTATTTTTTGTGTGGAACACAAAAAATCAAATTTCAGTCTTATTTTACATTTTTTTCATGCTTAGGAATGTCAAAATTTAGTTAAACTAGCAATTTCGTATTATATTTATAAATCTTTATAACATTATACAAAAATTAAATTTTTCTTAACAACTGAAATTTTGCCGGGAATGGGGCTTTAAATTTTCCACTACGCGCGAGCATTTTTACGCATGCAGCAGGTACGGAAGCTGATTTTTTTTTTTTTTTACATGTTTTGGGTTCCTGACATTGTTTTCACAAATTTCCATACTTTACGGTCATCTTATGGACAATAGCAATGTCGTACGTGCGCATCAAACATAGGGATGTTTGTGCGCTTTTGTGCCGATATACAGTGATGCTAAAATCAGGCCTATATTTAATCAGTTATAGCTCCATAGGATGAAAGATGATGATAATGGCTGATCGGACATTGTGACGTCATCATATTGCCATCTGAATTCAATAAAACTGAATTTTATTTTTGAAAATACGCATTTGAGCGTATCTCGCTTATCCTTGGTCGATCGTCTTCCAACTTTGAGTATGTTATAGCTGAGACAATTCTCTTTCATATAAGTGAGATCTAATACATTTTAACGACGTCATCATGGTCAAAATAAATGTTTTTGCTGACCCCCTCATCTTTCTCTAATCAAAAATATGTTAACCCCATAATCATCTTAACCAGTTGTCATTTCTGAATCATATTTAGTAAGCATAAACTTCAGGTCAAAGTTGAATGTTATGTACCTTAATTGTTTGTGCGCTCGTCATAATGTGCGCGTATGTGTGCGAAACATTTTCTATATGCTAAAAATCATTAATATTTTTATTCAGTTATAGCTCCTTAGAATGAAAGGTAACCCCAATTTTTATTACATATTCTGAAAGCACATGAGTTGTAGATATGATTTTATAGAATATTATGGCTGGTCGGACATTGTGACGTCATCATATTGCCATCTGAATTAAAAATAACTGAATTTTTATATATGATAATTATTATGATTGATAATAAATCCCTCACAAACAGGCCTTAGTGAATGAGAGTTGATACACGTATATCTCATATAAGGAGTCAACATTATGTGCTATTACCATGCGCACGTGCGTCATGACGTGTGCGTAGGCATGCGAAAATCTGAATTAGCGTATACTTTAGGCCATTTTGAGCATTTAACAATTTTTCAATCTGCACTCCGCGCGCTTCCTCAGTCCTGAGGGTCAAAGTGCGGCGGATCACCTAACTCGTCCTCAGTAACGAGTTCAAATCTAGTTATTTACATAGTTTATAAGTATTCATTTTGAGTGATCCTTGGAAAGAACAAGCTTTAAAATGTTAACACTGTTTAGAAGGGTGGGGGAAACCGCGGCTCCCCACGGCTCCCGCGGCTCCCCACGGTTCCCGCGGCTCTCGCGGCTCCCCACGACTCCCCCGCCTTTTGGATACGTCCCTGCTACTGTGCACATCTGTATATTGTTTTATTGTTGACCTTTGAGATAAATTGAATCCAATTCTTGCGATGGTATCGGCCGCGAATTTGGACGCGCTCTCGATAAGCTCTGCGGCGCTTAAAATTTGTACAATGTGTTTAATGAAACACTTTGAGAAACGGGGTTTATACAATGATACATTATAAATGAATAAATAACACAATGAAGACACAATTAAGCATTTCTTTATAAACTTTATTTACTATGACATAGAACCTATGATGGGCATAATGAACTACGGGAATATTTTTGTTTACTAAGCGCTGCTCTCAAATAATCTTTTATAAGTGCTGCTATCGAATAAACCCTGCACTGAAGCCTCCAAAATGTTAAGCGTCACGGCGCTTATTTGAGCATTTACGATATAACCTATGATATGACTGTATAAATAAAAACTCACTTGCTATCCAAAATGTGAATAACACTACAGTAATTCGAAAAATTACTGTGTATGCCTATTTTTATATTTCATTGACGTTAGCTGCCTAAATGTATAGAAGTCGAATAGCCTAATGTAAATTAATGGATTTTAAGTGTTAAATATACATCAATATGACACCGACATTATTATTTTTAAACTTTCATAATTCTGTGTAATATTTTTGATAATCTTTTTAAATATACCAAACACATGCAACAGTAATAATTAGAAAAAGAGTAAAAACATGTTTTTGTTCTTCTTTTGATTGAACATTTAAACTTTATTTACTAATTTGTTTTATATTATATAAAATGTATGAATTGAATTGAATTGAAGAAATTAAAGTTAAAGACGAACAAAGTATTACAGTATCGTAATTACCGTAATAGGCCTATAGGCCCCTACGCTTATTTTGTAAAATCATGATACAAAAGAACTCAATTGTGCCAAAAAAAGACATAAAAATATATCCCAAGACTCTTGTCTTCACATTTTTTTGTTGTCTTAAAGCTTTGTTTATTTTAAATGTGACACTTTCTAGAAAGTCCTTGGCAAACAACGGACACATTTTTGTGCGGTAACGGGTCACAGGTCATCATGTCTCCTGGCTACCCAAGCGGATATGAAAACAACATGGACGTAAGGTGGTCGTTTAGTACACACCCTGGAAGCTTGCTCTCTATTAAATTCTACGATTTTAATCTGGACAACGGTTACGATTATGTTTATATAAGCAGCGACGGACAACAAATGGCTAATTTCACTGGTTCACAATCGCCGGAAATAACTGTGTCTACAAGTAACACACTGACGGTTGTCTTTACAAGTGATGGCAGTGTAACGTCCACAGGATTTAAAGCTGAAATAGTTATCTATCCAGAACCGTCAGGTAGGTGACATTAATCCATTCCCGATGATAACCAAACATTATATTTTGTTATGTATTTTATTGAATTACTAGGTATAACATCACAATCAAACAAACCTAAGAAGCAACAAGATGGTTAAAACGAAAATGTCAGACAAACACACACTTCAAAAAAATGAAAAAGAGTGTGAAACATTATCAAAGTGGATATTTATTACAGCACCTGGACAAATACAAAAAAAACCAGAGTTAAACAATGGTTAAATATTACAAAAAGATATAATTTCAAAAAACAAATGTTTAAGTATATAATTGCAATCAGACATATATTTTGATTCATTAATTTATTGCAAACGATTTTAGAAAAATCTTTTTTGTCTAAATAGACGGTGTTTGCTCTGACTTTAATGATGGATGGTGTGGATGGTCTCACACTAATAGTAATCAACAATGGAGGCGTTCTTGTACAAGAATTGATGGCGCTGATCGAGGGAATCGCTACTCTTCATCAGGTTTAAGCAACTTGCAATATCTATTGCTATCTCAGTTAAAGCACTCTTTAAAAAGTATATTACAATGTCGCGGTTTCATCCGTCATGCGTGCAGCTGTAATGAGAATGATATGGTACCGATTTTGATGCCGGTACTGGTAGTCGGGGTACTGGTCCTGGTACTGGTTCTTATAGTATAGAAATGCAAATTTGGTTTCTCCGTCTAAACTAATTCAAGAAACTTTAACTCAATGCTCTACTCTGGCAACATTACGTATTATAAATAATAATTAGGTGAAGTATTATTCTATCTGGCTAATACTATTTTCTCCTTAATTTCAATTTATATTTAAATAATATATTTATATTATAAAAATTAAATAAGTGGTTTTAGCGCTATACCGAGAAATTATACTTTATTTTACAATCGTTCTTTAATAGAATTACTATTATGTGATATTTTATGTCGTTAGTATAAAAAAAGCTATTCTAAAATTGTAATCATATAATGTAAATACATTTTGTTTTTCCAACTTACAGAAGATTATTATATTTACGTGGAAACGTACAGTGGAAGTCAATATGGATATCTTGACAGCCAAATGATACCATCTACATGGAGTGATGTTTGTCTTCAATTTTACTTGCATATGAGCGGATCAGATAATGAACTGTACATTTATCATTATAACAATTATAATTCGTACTGTGTGTTGAATGCCCACGATGAATACAGCAGCCAATGGAAACATGTTAGTGTTACTTTTGCTAACTTTGCCAACTCTTACATAAGGATCAAAGGAAAAGCCTATGGTTACTACACTACAGAAATGGTAGCTGTTGATGATATATATATCAGTGACGGTACATGCTCAAACTTTGAAGGTAAGATTTAATAGGTCAAAACAATCGGTTAACCTTGGTGTTACCATGTGATACCTTCAAAGGTTATCGATCTTCACCCCTTTCTTCCTCCTTGCCGTAATTGTTCCATCTCTCTTAGAAACTCCCGCCACACACAATTTCTTCCATTTTCTGGTCTCTCTGAGGTTCTTGTCATCTTTATTTCCTCATGCAATTAAATTGCTAACGACCTAACTATTGACTCTTTGTTTATTTCCCAAATGAGATTAAAATAAAATTAGGCATTCTTAACCAATAATGTAAGCTTTATATTGTGTTGATTATATATATATATATATATATATATATATATATAATGTATATATACAGTATGTGTTAATGAGTGGATAATAGCCCTCGATGGCTTTCACTACAATAAAAATAAATCTTGAATCTTGAAAATAGAGGTTAATGGATGGAACCAATTGTTCTTTTGCCTAGCCCTTAACCTACGTCCGTGTAACGTGGACAGCAAACACGTCACAAGTAACTGAAGTTCATACAACACGGAAAATTGATGGACAGAGCAGGACATTCCGGAAATATTACTGAAAGCGATCTATGAAGAGTAGGTCCGGCATGACCGTGCCACTTACAGTTTTCTAGTGCAAAGTTTTCTAGTTTATGTTTGCTGTAAACTACTTCTCTCAATTAAGCATGGGGGTGAAGGGTGGACCTTGCCTACCCATCATAGATCGCCCACAGTTCAGTAATAATTCCTGAAAGTCCTGCTCCGTCCATCAATTTTCCGTGATGTACGAAGTTCAGTTACTAGTAAACTAGTGACATGTGTGTTGTCTGTGTTTGTATGATATGTAAGCAGGTATAGGCTAGGCTAGAGTAATATGGTGTAAATTTGAGTTCAGTAAGTTTTGTATTTAATTGAGTTTTGAAATTCTTACCACTGTTCATTGCCTGTGAACATATAACTAATAAAATATTATTTTAATAAATAGTTTTATCATGGAGCCCCCTGTAAAACAGAACATACGTGAACTTTTGTATTTGTGGGACAAACGCTTATTTCTTGCTAATAAAATATATCTTCTGATTGATTTGTTAGTTAATTGACACACTGGACAATTCTTTTCTGTATCTTTCAATCAATCTTGGATTTGTTAGCCTTTTGCCTCCATTTATCTGTTGTTTTCAAGTTGTTTTTTTCGAATGTTACACTTTCTAGAAAGTCCTTATCAAACAACAGACACATTTTTGTGTGGTAACAAGTCACAGGTCATCATGTCTCCTGGCTACCCAAGCGGATATGGAAACAACATGAACGTAAGGTGGTCGTTTAATACACATCCTGGAAGCTTGCTCTCTATTAAATTCTACGATTTTAATCTGGACAACGGTCACGACTATATTTATATAAGCAGCGACGGACAACAAATGGCTAATTACACTGGTTCACAATCACCGGAAATAACAGTGTCTACAAGTAACACACTGACGGTTGTCTTTACAAGTGATGGCAATGTAACGTCCAGAGGATTTAAAGCTGAAATTTTTATTTATCCAGAACCATCGGGTAGGTGGCATCAATCCATTGCAGATAATACCAAATATTATTAGATTTACTTATGTATTTTATTTAATTACTATAGGTATAACACCACAATCAAACAAACCTAAGAAGCATCAAGATGGTTAAAACGAAAATGTCAGGCAACCTCACACTTTGAAAATTGTCAATAGTGATAAATAACATTATCGAAGGGGATACAGTATTTCATCTGTACCTGCAATAAACAACAATTAACGCATAGTAAAAAAAAACAAAAACTAGTACAATAAAATATGTTTTTTAAAAAGGCAACTGTTTAAATATATAACAAAATCAGACATATCTTTTTTGTTTCATTGATATATTTCAAGTTAATATAAGAAATCCTTTCTTCTGTCTAAATAGAAGGTTTTTGTTTTGACTTTGATGATGGATGGTGTGGATGGTCTCATACTTATAGTAATAACCAATGGAGGCGTTCTGTTCAAAGAATTGATGGCGCTGATCGAGGGAATCGTTACTCTTTGGGATCAGGTTTAAGTGGCAACTTATTATTACTTCCTTCTCAGTTGTGCACTCTTAAAACAGTATATTACGGTTTAATCCGTCATGCATGCATGTACGATGAGAATGATTATGTTACCAATATCAATGCTGGTACTGGTACCGGTACTGCGAATACTGGTCTAGATACTGGTACCGGTTCCTATGGAATGAAATCTAGTTTCTCAATCTAATTGAAAAATATTTCAATGTTCTACTCTGGCAACATTACTATCTTATGCAGCTAACATTATTTTCTCGTTAATAATTTTAATTTGTATTTAAATAATATATTCAAATATTAAAATTAAAGAAGTTGTTTAAGTGCAATATTGAAAATCATATTTACATACTTTAATTTACTATTTACATACTTTAAATTACATTCGTTCTATTAGTTTTACCGTTAGTAGTAAAAAAGTTGCTTTAAAAATGGTAATCATAAAATGTAAATATATATCGTTTTTCTAACTTACAGACGATCATTATATTTTTGTGGAAACGTACGGTGGAAGTGTATACGGATACCTGGAGAGCCAAATGATACCATCTACATGGAGTGATGTTTGTCTTCAATTTTACTTGCATATGAGCGGATCAGATAATGAACTGTACATTTATCATTATAACAGTTATAATTCGTACTGTGTGTTGAATGCACACGATGAATACAGCAGCCAATGGAAACATGTTAGTGTTACTTTTGCTAACTTTGCCAACTCTTACTTAAGGATCAAAGGAAAAGCCTATGGTTACTACTCTAGAGAAATGGTAGCTGTTGATGATATATATATCAGTGAAGGTACATGCTTGGACTATCAAGGTAAGATATAATATGTCCATACAATCTGTCACCCTGGTATTTCCATATGACGTTCAAAGCTTATCGATCCTAACATAGAGGTTTAGTGAATGGAACAGACTGTCAATTTCTCTAGGTCTTAACGTACGTCAGTGTCCATGATGGCAAGTCCCTCAATACCTAAGTTTTCTTCTTTTTACCTGTATTAACCACTACTACTAATGCTACTCCCACTACTACTACAATACTGCTGCTACTACTACTACTACTACTGTATACTACAACTACTACTACAGTACTACTAATACTACCATTTACTACAGTAATACAACTATACTGTCCTATTATTAATACTAATATTTATTATACTACTAAATAGTAGGTTGGAAAATCCTAGGTTATTGTAACTTTGTTTTGCATTTGCATTCAACAGACACCTTTTTTTGTCATGTACTTGACACACAATCACACATAAATGTGGCTACCATGGCTCTCATCGTATTTTAAAAAATATGTAAGAATAAAAATAACTTTTATTTCAGGTCCGTGTAATTTGATTAATGCTAGTACAGCACCATTTTTAATTATAGACCTAGTGTGCAGTGCTCATTCTGCACTACCGCGCTCTAAAAACCTGAGAAAAACTTCAGCAAGATGAAAACTGACTGTTCTATATATTTTAATAGATAGTTTTAACCTGGAGCCTCCTGTAAAGCAGTACATACGTAAACTTTTGTATTTATGGGACAAGCGTTTATTCCTTGCTATTAAAATATCTTCTGATTGATTTGTTTAGTTAATTGACACACTGGACAATTCTTTTTTGTAGCTTTCAATCAATCTTCGATTTTTCAGCCATTAGCCTCCATTTATATGTTCTTTTCAAGTTGTTTTTTTGAATGCTACACTTTCTAGAAAGTCCTTATCAAGCAACGGACACATTTCTGTGTGGTAACGGGTCACAGGTCATCATGTCTCCTGGCTACCCAAGCGGATATGGAAACAACATGGACGTAAGGTGGTCGTTTAGTACACATCCTGGAAGCTTGCTCTCTATTAAATTCTACGATTTTAATCTGGACAACGGTCACGACTATGTTTATATAAGCAGCGACGGACAACAAATGGCTAATTACACTGGTTCACAATCACCGGAAATAACGGTGTCTACAAGTAACACATTGACAGTTGTCTTTACAAGTGATGGCAATGTAACGTCCAGAGGATTTAAAGCTGAAATTGTTGTCTATCCAGAACCGTCGGGTAGGTGACATCAATCCATTGCAGATGATACCAAATATTATTATATTTACTTATGTATTTTATTGAATTACTAATAACATCACAATCAAACAAACCTAAGAAGCATTAAAATAGTTACAATGAAAATGGCAGGCAAACACACACTTTGAAAATTGTCAATAGTGATAAATAACATTATCAAAATGGTTACAGTACTCATCTGTACCTACAATAAACAACAATCAAAGCATAGTTAAAAATTAGTTAACTATTACAATAAAATATGATATAAAACTGTTTAAATATATAGAAATCAGACATATCATTTTTGTTTCATTGATATATTTCAAGTTAATATTGTGGAAGCGTACAGTGGAAGTGTATACGGACTGTCTCTTATACACATCTAGGTGTGGATGGTCTCATACTTATAGTAATAACCAATGGAGGCGTTCTGTTCAAAGAATTGATGGCGCTGATCGAGGGAATCGTTACTCTTTGGGATCAGGTTTAAGTGGCAACTTATTATTACTTCCTTTTCAGTTGTGCACTCTTAAAACAGTATATTACTATGTCACGGTTTAATCCGTCATGCGTGCATGTACGATGAGAATAATTATGTTACCAATATCAATGCTGGTACTGGTACCGGTACTGCGAGTACTGGTCTAGATACTGGTACTGGTTCCTATGGAATGAAAACACAAATCTAGTTTCTCAATCTAATTGAAAAATATTTCAATGTTCTACTCTGGTAACATTACTATCTTATGCAGCTAACACTATTTTCTCGTTAATAATTTTAATTTGTATTTAAATAATATATTCAATTATAAAAATTAAATAAGTTGTTTAAGTGCAATATTGAAAATCATATTTACATACTTTAATTTACAATCGTTCTATTAGTTTTACCGTTAGTAGTAAAAAAGTTGCTTTAAAAATGGTAATCATAAAATGTAAATATATATCGTTTTTCTAACTTACAGACGATCATTATATTTTTGTGGAAACGTACCATGGAAGTGTATACGGATACCTGGAGAGCCAAATGATACCATCTACATGGAGTGATGTTTGTCTTCAATTGTACTTGCATATGAGCGGATCAGATAATGAACTGTACATTTATCATTATAACAGTTATAATTCGTATTGTGTGTTGAATGCCCACGATGAATACAGCAGCCAATGGAAACATGTTAGTGTTACTTTTGCTAACTTTGCCAACTCTTACATAAGGATCAAAGGAATAGCCTATGGTTACTACTCTAGAGAAATGGTAGCTGTTGATGATATATATATCAGTGAAGGTACATGCTTGGACTATCAAGGTAAGATATAATATGTCCATACAATCTGTCACCCTGGTTTTTCCATGTGACGTTCAAAGCTTATCGATCCTAACATAGAGGTTAGTGAATGGAACAGACTGTCAATTTCTTTAGGTCTTAACCTACGTCAGTGTCCATGATGGCAAGTCCCTTAATACCTAGGTTTTCTTCTTTTTACCTGTATTAACCACTACTACTAATGCTACTCTTACTACTACTACAATACTGCTGCTGCTACTACTACTACTACTACTGTAAACTACAACAACTACTACTACTACTAATGCTACTACTACTAATACTACTATTTACTACAGTAATACAACTATACTGTCCTACTATTAATACTAATATTTATATACTACTAAATAGTAGGTTGGAAAATCCTAGGTTATTGTAACTTTTTTTTGCTTTTGCATTCAACAGACACCTTTTTTGTCATGTACTTGACACACAATCACACATAAATGTGGCTACCATGGCTCTCATCGCATTGTAAAAAATATGTAAGAATAAAAATAACTTTTATTTCAGGTCCGTGTAATTTGATTAATGCTAGTACAGCACCATTTGTAATTATAGACCTAGTGTGCAATGCTCATTCTGCACTACCGCGCTCTAAAAACCTGAGAAAAACTTCAGCAAGATGAAAACTGACTGTTCTATATATGTTAATAGATAGTTTTAACCTGGAGCGTCCTGTAAAGCAGTACATACGTAAACTTTTGTATTTATGGGACAAGCGTTTATTCCTTGCTATTAAAATATCTTCTGATTGATTTGTTAGTTAATTGACACACTGGACAATTCTTTTTTGTAGCTTTCAATCAATCTTCGATTTTTCAGCCATTAGCCTCCATTTATATGTTCTTTTCAAGTTGTTTTTTTGAATGCTACACTTTCTAGAAAGTCCTTATCAAACAACGGACACATTTTTGTGTGGTAACGGGTCACAGGTCATCATGTCTCCTGGCTACCCAAGCGGATATGGAAACAACATGGACGTAAGGTGGTCGTTTAGTACCTGTCTCTTATACACATCTAGATGTGTATAAGAGACAGAAAAGTTGCTTTAAAAATGGTAATCATAAAATGTAAATATATATCGTTTTTCTAACTTACAGACGATCATTATATTTT